TTTTTTTTTAATATCAACTCCCCTACTTTCTAGTGAAGTAATACTGAGCAAGTTAACTTACTCGCTCTTCAGCTTCCTCCTTTCTAAAATGGAGATACTGTAGTACTTACCTCATGTCGTGTTTGTTCAACAACTATTTATTGAGCACCTCATATGTGCCAAGCACCATTCTAAGTGTGAAGGATTTAGCATTCTAAGTTAGAAACAGTCCAAGTTGTCAAAGCAGTAACTTTAAATCTACCAGGGAATTCGACATGCAAAAAAATAACTAACGATTTTTTAATAATATGACCAGTCCTATAAAGGGGGAAAAAAAAAGTGTGCTGTGTGTAATGGAGGGTTACAAATAGTCTGGAGAATCAGAGTGATCTCTTAGAATCTTGAGAGATTCATGGGAGGGTGCCTGGCAAAAACTTTCAGGGAGAGGGCATAGATAGATATACAAAGGTCCTGAGGCAGGACTGTTGTGAAGAAAGAACAGTGTATTTAAAACAATACAGTTGAGAATCATGGCATGTCATGGAAAAAAACAAAAGCAAAACAGCACAGTATAGGGCACGAGCACATGTTCAATGAACCATGGGCATAAACTATTTATTATTATGCCATATAGCAATTGTGGAGAGAACAGTCTGGAGAGAATTGTGGGACCAGGGGAAGTAACTAATTCATGTAACTGATACAGTATCAAACAGGTACCTACCAAGAGGAAGGATCCTGTAAATACAAGGTTTCTTGGAAAGAAGCAAAGAAAACATGCAGAAAAAGACTGAGAAATAACTTGCTATTCTTCCAGATAGTCCATGCATTGTGAGAACTGCTGAGATGTATTCCAGCTGCAGCCAGTGTTTTGTAGTTAGGCTCCTCTAGTTGCATCACAAACCATCTTAATTGTTTTTCACATAGAAAATATTGTCGGCCAGGCGCGGTGGCTCAGGCCTGTAATCCCAGCACTTTGGGAGGCTGAGGCAGGCGGATCATGAGGTCAGGAGTTCGAGACCATCCTGGCCAACATGGTGAAACTCTGTCTCTACTAAAGATATAAAAAATTAGCCAGGCATGGTGGCGCGTGCCTGTGATCCCAACTACTTGGGAGGCTGAGACCGAAGAATCACTTGACCCTGGGAGGCAGAGGTTGCAGTGAGCCAAGATCGCGCCATTGCACTCCAGCCTGGGTGAAAGGGTGCGACTCCATCTCACGGGGGGGAAAAAAAAAAAAAAGTATTGTCAAGTCACCTCTGTATTAACTTCAGAGCACATTCAGATCTTGAGAACTGCTCTTAGAAGAAATACTGGACCATGTTGGAAAATGCATTATTGCCAATAAATTGGAGTAAAATGTTAATTTTAATAAATATTTAACTGGTATAGACTTGTATTCCAAGGGTTACATACTGTTTTCCATTTCCCACTTTAAATTCCATCTTTGCTAGAAAAGTTAAAGGAATGTTTTTAAGAAAAATGTTTCTCCTCCAAATACCAGTTGTTTAATGAGTCATTGCTTTTTTTTTTTTTTTTTGGAGATGGAGTCTCACTCTGTTGCCCAGGTTGGAGTGCAGTGGCATGATCTCGGCTCACTGCAACCTCCGCCTCCCGGGTGCACGCCATTCTCCTGCTTCAGCCTCCCAAGTAGCTGGGACTACAGGCACCCACCACCTCGCCCAGCTAATTTTTTGTATTTTTAGTAAAGACAGGGTTTCAATATGTTAGCCAAGATGGTCTCGATCTCCTGACCTCATGATCCGCCCGCCTCAGCCTCCCAAAGTGCTGGGACTGCAGGCGTGAGCCACCGCACCTGGCCCAAGTCATTGCATTTTTATATCATACCAGGATGTCAGTGGTCCATGTCTGGCACCAAAATTGAATTTGGTCCTTGGTAACCTGTTTACCTAATTAGCATCCCTGAATTACTTTAAAACACAAGTCTTACCTCCTATGTTTTATCCTTGATTCCTTCCGTGTCCTGCAGTTCTCTGAGATTTAAAGGAATGTATAGCCATCCCCTAATTTGGGTCTCCTTTTCCCCCCCATAGAAGATGTTAATTAAATTCACTTTTGCCAAATGAACGATGTTAACTATGTTTGCAACTTAACGGTTAACATCATTAATTTGGCAAAAGTGAATTTAATTAACATCTTCTATTTGCCAGGGGGGAGATGCATAGATAAAACAGGGCTCCCTTGCTTAAGAGAGAACTTGAGACAGATACATAATCGATTACAAAACTGAGTTAAAAGCCATACTTGAGAGTATGAACAGTAGGAGCTACTCAGACAATAGGGGAATGTAGAAGAAAGATGGCGTTTTACATTGTTCTTGAAGGACAAGTAATTCTTGAAGGACAGTTTGCTGTAATTCTAGGCTAAGGAACCAGCATTGCAAAGGCATAGTATAACTTAGGTTCTGCATTTACAGTCAAGAGTCACAGAAAGTTTTAGAATAGAAAAAGAGGCCAAGCATGGTGGCTCACACTTGTAATCTCAGCATTACAGGAGGCTGAAGCAGGTGGTTTGTGGCCAGGAGTTTGAGACCGCCTGGGCAACATAGCAAGACACTGTCTGCACAAAAAATGAAAAAACTAGCCAAAGTACACCTGTGGCCCCAACTACTCAGGAAGCTGAAGCAGGAGAATCACTTGAGCCCAGGAGTTCGAGGCTACAGTGAGCTATGACTGCACTACTGCATTTCAGCCTGAGTGACAGAGGGGTCCCTGTCTAAAAAAAGACAGCAATAACATATTTTGGCCTTAAATAAAAAGTAAGCTATAAAGGCATAGTATGTAGAGTCAATAAAAGAGAAGTGCCTCAGGTGAGAAAATTTGTAAGTTTTATATAAATTTTTTTTTTGAGACAGGGTCTCATCCTATTGCCCCTACTGGAATACAGTAGCCTGTAGCCTGATCATGGCTCACTGCAGCCTTGACCTCTGAGCTTAGGTGATCCTCCCACCTCGGCTTCCCAAGTAGCTGGAATTATAGGCACGTCCCACTATGCCTGGCTAATTTTCGTATTTTTTGTAGAGATGGAGTTTCGCCATGTTGCCTAGGCTGGTCTTGAACTCCTAGGGCTCAAGCGATCCACCTGCATCAGCCTCCCAAAGTGTCAGGTGAGAAATTTAGAGAGAATGCCCAGGCTTATAACTTGGTCTTCTAGGTAAAAGATAATGTCTTTTATTGTAATAGCTAATCTAGAGCTACACTGTTCAGTAGCCATTAGGCATATATAACTATTTAAAGTTCAATTTAAAAATTCAGCTCCTCAGCCACATGAACCACATTTCAAGTACTTAGTAG